TTTTTTCATTGAAACCAAAAAGCCCCATATTTTGTTTGTATTCTCCATCTTGAAATATCTTTCCATCTATTTCAATTTGACCTTAAAATGATGAAAGTGTATTAGAAATAGACTTGATAATATTGGAAAATAGGGTGTTTTCTATGAATGTTTCATCGTCTATAAGTTCGATTCTATTCATATTTTTAGTATATACTTTTTAATTGAATATTTTTTAGCTTATTTATTGATGAAATTTCTACATCAAATTTATCTAAAATTTCACTGAATTCTTCTAGTTCTTCAACGGTTATGTTCTTATTTTCTCGTGATCTTTCGAAAAGGTTTAAAGCTTTTGTTTTCTTTTTATAATATTTCTTTTTTGATGTATAACCTAAAGTAATCATTCCACAAGATGAAGTTTGAACATCAGGGAATGCGACTAACGTAGTTGGGACAATTACTGGAAGCATTAATTCACCAGTTACGGCCGTTGTCACTGTTACTACTACTGTTAGTATTGTGCTTACTAATTTGAAAACTGAATCAATTCTACTCCATGTTTTTCTACATTTATTGTACTTATTCTTGTTGTACTTTTAACTCATTTTGCTTTCTAGTTCCATATTTAAGACAATTAAATCAAGTGAACTTCTGATACACCAAAAGATGGAAATTGTTTAATATCTAAAATAGGTATCCCCAAAATATATCTAATAAAAATTTTTACAGTTACTAACGATAATTGTTCTTTCGAATCATTGAACTTGTTTAGATGAAATGAAAATTTGATTTTTCAGATTGATATATTAACATATACATTATCATCTCTTATTACTGGTTTTGTTGAGTTTTATGAAAATCAACAGAGGTGAGCTTACTTCTTTTTGTGGTCCCGGGTTTCTAATAATATTCATTGATGGTGGAGTTTCCATCTCCAATGTCATAACAAAATTTACCAATCCAAGAAGATCATCTTTTCTGCTGGTGGTATAATTAACATTCTAAAGGTATCTATATATTTTCCACTTGTTTTAATTAAATACAAGTGATAAATCTTGTTGTTTTCGTTATTAATTTATAGTTCTTTAGTTTCTACCATTGAGAAATTGAAGAACTTTTTTCAAGTTAAATTTATTATAATTTCTTCAAACTGTTTTCCTAAACTCAACTGATTTAAAACGCCAAGTGAAAGCTGTCCACAAAAGTTTTGACCTGGTATTTGAATTTGAAATGTAGAACATTTGATTGGTTGATTAGTAAATTTCATTATCTCTTCAGTGGATTCTATTCCAAAAGAATCAAAGAAATAAAAGTTATTTAAAGAGTCATTGTATAAAGCAGAGTGATGAACTCCTTTTTGATCGGAGGTATGTATATTTGTTAAAGCATACAATTTACCTATCTTATCCTTGAGATCATTTATTTCATCTCGCATACAATTATAAAACGATGAAATTTTTAACTCGTTTAACTCATGAGTTGAAAGTTTGTTGTTGCATCATTTCCATATTTATCAAGAACGCTATTCATAAGTCAATTTTTCTAAGTTCGTTTTGGGAAAATCTACCTATGATGTGTTCTTTGTCTTGATCGGTTAATTCATATGTTGGAAGTGGTGTACTATTTACTTTATCTACGATTAATATTTCGTTTGTTCAATATCCAACGTATTTCGAATTTACTTTTATATTTGAAAATACGAACGCAATCTCCAACTTTAAACTTTTCCTTAACGTGTATATCTTTTATTTCATTTTCAAAATTATTAAGGGTAAAAGAAAACTTTATAATATTTGGATTTAGACTAGCTTCTATTCGAGAAACATCGATAGAAGAATGAATTTTGTTATTGCATTTCGATACTACCGTGGGTAAATTCTTAGAGATTTTAGTTCTGTGAATTTTGTAAACAGTTTTGATTTAAGCATTCAGTTAAATCAGTACAGCTTTAATTATAGTCAATTCTATGACTTAGGCCAATCCCTTTTTTATTGCGCAATTCAAATTGTTCATTGGTCTATTATCACTTGACTATTTTGTATACAATAAATTTAATATGGTATTTGACTTTATATAAATAAACCAATCTTGCTATGGGGGACCTCATATATGATAGTAGATATGCGTTATTTTCATATTATGATGGAATTAGATGTTGGACCTTCCATACTAGGTGTATTCAGGCATAAAAACGTGAATAGAGCGTTTTTTATGCCTAAAAGCGTCAAATATGAAAAGGCTATTACTACTCAAATTACAACAACTTAGATTAACAGAAAATCAACAAACTCTATTTAAACCAATATTAGAGACTAAAGAGGAAATTTTAAATAGCTTGGTCCCTTTTCTTCTAAATTGTTTACATTTCCATGGTTACCATCAAAACGAATAAAAAAAAAGTGAAAAGCATTTTCAGTCACCTCAAATCAAAAGACGACTCCTCTATACAAATTATTGAAATGTAAATGTGTTATGCTCACCCCTTCTTAACTTAAGAAGATGTTTCGTGTCATTTGTCTTTCGTCTGTTTCAAAATGTTTAAGTAACTGATACGAAATTGGTATGTCAATTATCATTGCAGCATTATTTAAAAAATGATTTTATCACTGCCTTTTTGGTTTTCTCATTGATCTAACGTATTTTGGTTCTTTTATAGGTGAAATAGCATAAAACTTTTGTCTTTTAAGACGTAATATATGTTTAAGTGTCAGGAACTTAGGCATTGCATAAAAAATGTCCGTTGGTAAAAGGAAATTTTACTTAAAACATTTCTCATGGAACATGTTACAATTGACTAATGCGCATTGACCATAATTATGACAAACCTGATATCCGTATACCGGTAGAGGAAAATTACCATATCGTATCGTCCGGTTTTGTCTCATACCAGTTTTTTTTTCGATAATATCGCCCAACTTTACTATGTAGGTACTTTTTCACGGAGAAACACGAAGCAAAAAATATAAATCTGGAATTTAATCATATTTACGCAGGATCTCAAAAGTATATACGCTTATAAGTATTTTTAGATTTTGAGAAGAAATAAATAAATTTGTAGTTTTTAGTATGTGCCATATTGCTTTATTGGCAGACATAAATTACGGTGAATAGAAAACTAAAAATACTACTAATAAAAGTTACTCAAGGTGTGTATTAAGAAATTCTTGTAATATTTACTGAAATAAAATTCTGTACATTGAAACTGATGGTTTGAAGTCATAATATCAAATAATGTAGGCTACAATTTCTGGGAGGGGAGTTGTTTATTCCAAATATATAATCATCACACCCAGAGTGGCGGAGCTAGGTTTACGTCCGTTGGGAGGGGCATGGGCTAGTTATGAGATTTTTTGCCAGAAAAACCCTCTCTTTCGGGGCTGCGAGTGGGGGAGGGGAGGCTCTGCTTTCCCTTTGGCTCCGCCACTGATCAAGAATATTTGTGCACACCTTAGACCGATCCAAAGTATAAAAAACGCAATGTTGTGGTTCAAATTACAAAACCACAATATAAGTCTGATTTTATGTTCTCTTTATTACTACTATTTAGTACCCGACAAGAGTTGGATCGAGTCCATAAAAATCAAACCATAAACTAAGCAGTCAATTTTGTTTGGCAGTATTGCGTTCATTATCACATGGACTGCCTAAAAATGAATTTGTAGGGGGTGGGGTGGTTTATTCCCATATCACCCATTTTAATTTCACCCCTGTTTTAAATCTGTATTAAATGGATACCTGCAAAAATTGAAAAATGCGTACGCAGACCTCAAACATTTAAATGTTTTCAACTAATTTAAGACATTGAATACAAATCTAAATGTTGTTTGTGGTTTGAAAAATTTTGCTGAAGCAGCGACATTGCAGTCTAGTCTTTATCAAATTCCAGCTGTCCCAGTACCAAAAAGCAAACAAGACCGGAATTAAATCGAAACAAGTATAAGCTTATGAATTAACAAAGAAGGGGCGAAGTGGCAAGGGACAAAATGGGTAAGCGAGTGAAATGAGAAAAAGGCAAAATAGGGGCGAATTACCAAACTTCAAATTGATCACTTTTTTTATTTCATAGGATCTCAAAACAAAGAAGCAAGAAGTATAGATTATCTATGTGCAAACATCTCTTCACTCGCCAAACATGATCTGGCCGATTTCTTTGTTTAATTGAGTTCAATCGAATTATTATACTATTTAACAATGGGTAGACAATTCAGTCAATATTTATCCCAGAAAGGAGCATAAGGTTTCGGAAGAAATATTAATGACGAACAATGTTGGTTCTTACATGGAATATAATAAAATGTCTATGTGAAACATTCGAATATAAACCAATAAATCAAAACCGCAAAACGAAACCCGAAATCCAAACAACATACTGGCAAAACATTGATAGCAGGAAAAGAACTGTTCTTTATGAATAGGTATTTCATAATGAAAAGTGGTATCAGGTGTCTGGAAGAGTAAGCATTTCCGCCTGACACCAAATCCGTCATAGCTGCCCAACCTACACAACAAACACTAAAAATAGGAACATGCTTATGAATTTTATAAGTTCAAGGTACGTAACTGACGGAAATACATTTCTTCAATTTCAACAGTCAAGGGAGAGAACAATAATTTGTTATATTATGATGATAAGAGAAAATTATATTAAAATATTATGAAGACATCAGCGAAAGGAAAGACATCTAACTATATGTTATGAATTTTATATGAAATGTATGACAAATAGACCTGAATAGGTAAATCGGGTTGTATTGGTTTGGTAAGATAACACATGTATGTTATAAAGGCCTATTATATATAGATATAATACCAAACGATAACGTGTTTAACTGAGAAGCTTTTAATCATTAATTTCTGTAAGCAAACGTCTTTAAACAAACATTCCGAACAAAATATTGTGGTCGATTGACTACAAAGACTACACAAATACAACCAAACGATGTAACCTTTGTCTAACCGAAAATTTCCTTAAGCGCGCGTCTTTAAACAAACTTCCCGAACTCGTCCGAAGTGTAGACATGAGAATAAGTTCTACGTGTCCAACTTCAGTAGGGAAGCAGGCTGCGATAGGTCAGTCGTCTGAAGATAGCTTGAAACTCTGAGAAACAATATTTTTAGGTTTTAATATTTCTGGATTATTAGCTTGATTCGGAGACAATTTATAAAAATGTTCATGCTTTTTATAAACCTATTCAAAAAGATTGTACATTATTAACGATGTTATTCTTTCTGATAAATTAATTATTTCTGTCTAAAGAGTTTCACACAGGTCGAGATAATACATTCGGATTTTCCAACTTGATTTTCCCCTTGTCAGAAATAGCAAGGTAAAGTGTCTAGTCGTAGTTCCGTCGAATAGGGACAATAAACCGAGGCCCCGTGTGCTACAGGCTGTGCTACAAACTACAAACTCAATTGTAAAGTGTCTAGTCGTTCGGATGGGACAATAAACCGAGGCCCCGTGTGCTACAGGCTGTGCATGTTAAAGATCCCTTGACAAGAGCAAAGAGAAAGAGAGCAAACTAATGCCGTTTTTCATGGCGTTGCCCATCTTCGTAGTCTAATTAAGTGCAGAAAAGTAATATGTAAAACTCCATTCATTTCATTTAAAAATGTTAATATATTGAGAGGATGAGTATTTGTAATACGCACTGTATTCTAAAAAATGAAATGAAAATGAAGGGAGTTTTACGTCCTACTTTTCTGCACTATGTTGGCTAATGAAGACGAAGACTGTATTATAGAGAAGGGTTATATAGACGTAATCCTGTCCTCAACTAAAGAAACTTATAAAATATTGTTTACGTATAAAAAAAACGCCCTTCAAATAAAAAATGAGACGTACCCTATAAACCTTATATTAAATATAGGGTATAAATGTACTAAGAAAACGTATAGTATGAATATAATAGTCACAGTGTATAGGGACAGTTATACGATAAAACACACCTGGAGGAGTGAGGATGTATATTCAAAAGAGCAGTATTTTTTATTATATCAGTTGAAACCCTTTAAATATGCTGAAAATATATTTCTCTTACTCTACAATAAAGCTTCTATTTTGCTAAGATCCACACAATAGTTTCGTGACCCCTGCCAAAAACCATATCGAATTTTAAAAGTTTACATAACCTTTTGAATATATTTGGCTTTAACACATTTACTGCAAGATTCATTTTTAGTTAAAACTGTCAGATAAGATAAAGACAAATTTTTAAAAGATTTTGATCAAAACTTTTGACCAAAAAAAGATATCCGACCAACAGAACAAACAGACTGCCCCTTTCAGGACAAAACGTAGCTCTCACTTGCATTAAAGGTGTGTAAACACAATTGATCACACCACAAACATGTTAGTCCCGTGATCAATAGTGTTAACGCACCAATGAGGCTAGTGAGACCAAGGTTTATATTTAAATTCAGAAATTGCTATTCCTACAAACTGAATTGTTTTTTTTTATTAGCATTTATTTCTATTTCTCAGATTCAGTAATTGTTTTGCTTAGAGATGTTATTATACGACATATTGTCAAGTGACAATTTACGTATGTCGAAAAATAACGTCAGATTGCGTAACTGATAAAGAAGGGAGTGGCAGTAGAAATGTAAATATTAGACAATATTAGATTACACATGTAAAGGCCCGTCTAATCCAACAAGAAAGCACACCTAGCCAGCGCCCAGAGAAATAATGCAGTTCCTAATATGTCTATTGTTTTTATTCTCCACTTTTACAGGTAAAGGTATCAATTTATGTATTATTTATTTACCTGTGATTATATTAATATTAACTTGAAAAGGTCATGTTTCATATAAATATTTTAAACGGAAACACTGAAATGTCCATACAAACGATAGTGTTTAACATAGAAAAACGTCCCTTAGATTTATAATTTTCATCTATAGCACGCTCCAACGAGCTTTTCACTCGGTACATGACGACAGTTTACAATCATTTTCTTATTTAGATTCAAATATCGCTATAATAAAACATTATTGTGTTTCTTTTTTTTTTAGATTCAACCTGTACTATACAACAGATACAACAACGCTGCAATGATACACAATTGTGTTTTTTATGTGGCTGTGAAAAGTCCAATTACACGTCCAAATTCTATATAGGATGTGAGAATAATGATGATATCATTCTAATGGAACCTGGTTATAGTGTAATGAGAGAAGGTTATACGATGAGTTATTCTGATTTCTGTTTAGTAGACCACTATATGAAATGTAACTGGTATAACCCACCGCGTCATTCAACATTAAAAAATCGAATTGAAGTTTATAAAAACTGTACGTTTAAAAATTCCTGTGAAATAAACATCAAAGAGGGAATAAGGACAGGAAATAAGAAAATGGTGAATTATCCATTTTACTGTCTTGATAGTAAGTTACTGTTTTCTTTAGCAATTCGTTATCAGATTGTAACCTTTTTTTTAAATTTGCTTTTGTCCACGCATGTAGCAAAAACTGGAAATAATATACTATTTGATTGTGTAGTTAGTTTGTGTAATTGTATGAGTGATTTATAATTGTATGAGTAGTTTATAATTGTATGAGTAGTATATAATTGTATGAGTAGTATATAATTGTATGAGAAGTTTATAATTGTATGAGTAGTATATAATTGTATGAGAATTATATAATTATATGAGTAGTATATAATAGTATAAGTAGTATATAATAGTATGAGTAGTTTAAAATTGTATGAGTAGTATATAATAGTATGAGTAGTTTATAATTGTATGAGTAGTGTATAATTGTATGAGTAGTATATAATTGTATGAGTAGTATATAATTGTATGAGTAGTTTATAATTGTATGAGTAGTATATAATTGTATGAGAAGTTTATAATTGTATGAGTAGTATATAATTGTATGAGAATTATATAATTGTATGAGTAGTTTATAATTGTATGAATAGTATATAATTGTATGAGTAGTATATAATTGTATGAGTAGTATATAATTGTATGAGTAGTTTATAATAGTATAAGTAGTATATAATTGATGAGTAGTGTATAATTGTATGAGTAGTATATAATAGTATGAGTAGTATATAATTGTATGAGTAGTATATACTAGTATGAGTAGTGTATAATTGTATGAGTAGTATATAATAGTATGAGTAGTGTATAATTGTATGAGTAGTATATAATTGTATGAGTAGTATATAATAGTATGAGTAGTGTATAATTGTATGAGTAGTATATAATTGTATAAGTAGTATATAATTGTATGAGAAGTATATAATTGTATGAGTAGTGTATAATTGTATGAGTAGTATATAATTGTATGAGTAGTATATAATAGTATGAGTAATGTTTCAAAGTGCGTGATTTTGTATGCTTATTAAAATAGATTATTGATCAAAGGTAATACTCTAGTTAGGAGGATATCAGGACAGTTTGTCATTTTCAATTTCCCGACAAATAAATATTCTGATATTATAATTAAGGAATGACCTGAACATTTATTGAAAGATCTAAATAAGACTAGAATTCATGAATTTAGAGTATGCACATTTGAGGGAATTTAGAAAATACCTTTATCATTCAATGATGTGTCGATTTCGGCTCTGTTGACGTTCTAAGGAACGACAGCGACGCCGTGAAGTGGCCACGCCAATCAAACTCAATAATAAAAGTAGTGCGTTAAGGGGCGGAGCTTATATTTTCATTCCTTTTACACGGATATGAACCAAATGCACGTGACCGCTGTTATCCAATCAAATTGCGTGATACCGTGTAAACGGAATCGTGATTTAATTATTAACTTTCATCTTTATATTAATATTAACTTTGTTTCAGAATCATCAGTTCTAAATATATCTACCAAAATTGACAAAAACTTGAAGAATCCTATTCTATATTTTACTGGAGAGAAATATACTGGGCAGAATATTAACTGTGACTGCTCTGTCAAATCTAACAACCCTCTTCATTTAGAAATTTTCTTCATCCATTTAAAACCACGCACTTGTTCCAAAGTAAAGTTTTTCTCGGAAAATCTTCAACTGTTTGGCTGTTCTACAAGTGGTACTACAATGTTAAATACTCAGCATGTTTATATCGGTAGAGATTTTAAACTGGAAATACGAGGAATGGAGCCAGATGAAGAAGATGTTTTATTCTTTAGAGTTTGGGGTAAGGACTTAGTTTTCAACTTACTGGATATTTGTTCGAAAGTAATTCTTATCCTTTTGGAATTATGACCACCTATGCTAAAAGAATATGTCCAGGATTTCTTCTGAAAAATCTCAATATTTATTATAATGTGTTCGATATGTTGTTGATTATTAAGTATTTTCATGTGATTTTGTGATATTTAATTTTAGATGGTTTTATGTCTATAAACTGTGGATGTACAAATTCAACAGGTATGTCCTTTCATTTGTATAGTTATATAATGAAATGATTTGTATTGTTATTTCTTTATCATCGACTGAGCCACGCAGGGACAGTGCAGTGTCAGCTATGATACCGAATGTGCCATAATTTTTCAAACTAATGTGGCATCTAGCTTAGACAGAGGTTTCAACCTGGGGGTAATTTTTAATTTTGTGGGTGTAATGGAAGCTTTTAAATATAATGAAAATTGTTCAATTCAGTCAGACCTTCTCGGACAACAGGAAATACAACGGAGTAATAGGGAGAATGGGGTAATGCAATCACGGATCCTCAAAGGGGTAGTAGATCAAAAAAGCTTCTGAGCTAAGATAACAACAGAGATAACTGAAATCCTAATCACCACAGTAAGACACAAGTTCAAGAGACACATATTCAAATGCAAGTTTTCTTTCTTCAGATAATTGAAATTAAGTTTAATTGTGTAAATGATACTCCAGCTGACCATAAATAAAACTAAACAAAAAGCAGATGATGATATTTTACATGTTCACATCACGTTTATTTATTTTCAGATGATGGATTATCAACTTCATCACAATCTTCAATGGATACAACTACAGATATCCCTGCTTCAAGATATGTGGCTACAGATACTGCTACTACAGATATCCTTGCTTCTAGATATGTGGCTACATATACTGCTACTTCAGATATCCCTGCTTCAAGATATGTGGCTACAGATATTGCTACTACAGATATCCCTGCTTCAAGATATGTGGCTACAGATACTGCTACTACAGATAACCCTGCTTCAAGACCTGCAACTACAGATACTTTTATGACAATAGATCCTACTTTAGATGGTCCTGCTTCAACTGCTGGTACAGATCAAACCAATAATGTTGCTACAACTAAGATATACCCCATTCTCGATGGTTCTGTACCAGCTACTGATACAAATCAAGCTAACAGTGTTGCTACAGTTACATTGGGTGGAATTCTATCACCTGTTATATTAATTAATATAGTCAGTATAGCTCTCTACTGATTTCTCATACGGGAATCCTATATTATTATGATTGGTTTGATTTCAACTTGACCACATTTTCTTTTATATTTGGTTTTTAAATTTCTTAGAAAGATAACAATGGACGTAAAGTGTAAATTGAAGTTTTTAGTCTCCAGGAATTTGTTTTGAATCTATTACAAATATCTACTGTTCACTGTAGAAGGTGTATTGAGCATGTCCGAATCTATTACAAATATCTACCGTTCACTGTAGAAGGTGTATTGAACATGTCCGAATCTATTACAAATATTTACTGCGTTTCACTATAGAATGTGTATTGAACATGTCCGAATCTATTACAAATATCTACTGCGTTTCACTGTAGAAGGTGTATTGAACATGTCCGAATCTATTACAAATATCTACTGCGTTTCACTGTAGAAGATGTATTGAACATGTCCGAATCTATTACAAATATCTACTGCGTTTCACTGTAGAAGATGTATTGAACATGTCTGAATCTATTACAAATATCTACTGCGTTTCACTGTAATAGTTATATTCAACATGTCCGACAATGTAACAAATTTCCACTGAATTTGAATATATAAATTCTAAAATTGACCAATGTTGCCATGACCAAGTAAAATCTAAAACTTTTGCTGTTGATATTATTCAGTCTCTGTCCCAAGTTTAAAAGATAACCATGGTGGCACTCGCCCACCAGCAGCTTTGATTGCAACTACAAATCATGTTTGTAGCCTTAGTAAGCCCGAGCCAAGTGTGAACAGACGGATGGTCGAACGACAATATGCTTCCATATTACGCGTGGGCGTATACAAATCATAAGAATCCACAAAGAATTATTACTTGAGTGTTGGACTGTATGGCTAATAGAGTGAAAACGCTAAGTCGGACATGATATTTCGGTGAAAAATAATCAGATCATCGCGACAATCGATAGGGATCATCTTCATAATTACATTGACCTTCAAAATAAAAAGCAAAAAATCCATAAAGAATAGTCACATGTAGATAGCACTAGATAGATATACAATATCCACTACCAGAGCAAATATACAAAATCAACTACCAGAGTAAATATACAAGATCTACTACCAGAATTAAATATACAAGATACACTACTAGAGTAAATATACAAGATACACCACTAGAGTAAATATACAAGATACACCACTAGAGTAAATATACAAGATCCACTGCTAGAGTAAATATACAAGATATACTACCGGAGTAAATATACAAGATACACTACTAGAGTAAATATACAAGATACACCACTAGAGTAAATATACAAGATCCACTTCTAGAGTAAATATACAAGATCCACTGCTAGAGTAAATATACAAGATCCACTACTAGAGTAAATATACAAGATCCACTGCTAGAGTAAATATACAAGATACACTACTAGAGTAAATATACAAGATACACCACTAGAGTAAATATACAAGATACACCACTAAAGTAAATATACAAGATCCACTGCTAGAGTAAATATACTAGATACACCACTAGAGTAAATATACTAGATACACCACTAGAGTAAATATACTAGATACACTACTAGAGTAAATATACAAGCTACACTACTAGAGTAAATATACAAGATACACTACTAGAGTAAATATACAAGATACACCACTAAAGTAAATATACAAGATCCACTGCTAGAGTAAATATACAAGATCCACTACCAGAGTAAATATACAAGATCCACTGCTAGAGTAAATATACAAGATACACTACTAGAGTAAATATACAAGATACACCACTAGAGTAAATATACAAGATACACCACTAGAGTAAATATACAAGATCCACTGCTAGAGTAAATATACAAGATCCACTGCTAGAGTAAATATACAAGATCCACTACCAGTGTAAATATACAAAATCAACTACCAGAGTAAATATACAAGATCTACTACCAGAATTAAATATACAAGATACACAACTAGAGTAAATATACAAGTTCCACTACTATAGAGTAAATATACAAGATACACCACTAGAGTAAATATACAAGATCCACTGCTAGAGTACATATACAAGATACACTACTAGAGTAAATATACAAGATACACCACTAGAGTAAATATACAAGATACACCACTAGAGTAAATATACAAGATCCACTGCTAGAGTAAATATACAAGATACACTACTAGAGTAAATATACAAGATACACTACTAGAGTAAATATACAAGATCCACTGCTAGAGTAAATATACAAGATACACTACTAGAGTAAATATACAAGATACACCACTAGAGTAAATATACAAGATCCACTGCTAGAGTAAATATACAAGATCCACTGCTAGAGTAAATATACAAGCTACACTACTAAAGTAAATATACAAGATACACCACTAGAAAGTTGCAACGTATCTGAGGAACCTGTGAGAGTTGTCATTCCATTACGAAGTCTACAATTTTGACCGTTTTTTAAATAGGTGGACACACGATTTAGTAAAATGAATATATTTATTTCGTTTCAAAAAAAGTGAACAAAGTTATTTGTGCAGTTAGTCAGTTATCAAGGCGTAACTTCATGAAATGCAAATATATTATGTACGATGAAATGTTTGATAAGCTATATTGTGCTAGGTCCGCCAGTGTTGTTACATGCAGTTCGTATTAAAAAAATAATGATATTTATCAAACAACAAATATATTAGCTTTGATTGTATAACAAATATTTTCTTTTTTTCCCTTCAACTTAATCTTAGATGCTCGTTATCATAATTGTATGTACCAAGCAATGCAAAAATAAACCTTTCTTGTGGTGTCTGTATGAAATGAAATTCCACAGATTTGTATATTGGATTCATATTCTTTAAGTAAAAGTTGTGTTAATTTACACAGAACGTCTGCTTTTATATTGTATCTTAAAATATTCGAAACCAATTGCTCTATCAAATCTGTTTAGGGTATATTCGCACCTTTTTCTAAAACAAAAGCACAAAATCACTGTAATAACGGCCAAGTTACGCAACATATTTAGGGCCGTATGTGGCAAACGGATAAGAGAAACGGATTAATATTTTACTCTATGATTACTCACCTCTTCTGTTGAACGTTTTACCCCTTTCCTTTGTTTTAAAGAATTTTTAGAATTCAAGATCTAAACGATATCCATTTATACATCGAGGGCATTAATTCTACAACATAAACTTAAGGCCAAAAGAAACTTTACCAGGGTTTGAGAGGGGCGGCTGCCCTCTTTGCCCAACTACCGCTGGGCCATTGCCTGATACAAAAAATAACACAATATAAATGATTGGTTTTAAATATTCTAAGCAGGTTGATAAGTCAACGAAACCAGCACATCAAATGGCAAACTTATAGCTAGCAAAAGAAAAAATGAAACGCTGCAATTTCATTATCAATTTCGAACCTTTTTCTTGAAATTCACTTTCAAATTAGTTAAGTTTCTTTTGGCCTTGGGTTAATGTAATTGAATAATTGTAAATTCTCATATTTGCAATTTGTGCGCAGAACTTAGTATTCATCTTCTTGTTCTAATAATGACCTGTAGAATATTACGGTGAAATATTGACTCACCTTAATGACAATCCTTCGTTAAAAAGCAGTGTTTAATTAAAAAAAAATATATGTGTGATATCCATCGGTGGTCTGCTGATATAAAATATGTATTAAGGCAACATCTGTCCAGAAGGAAACATTAACTTTACAATAAATTTGAGATCAAGTGTAGCATAAGATAGTGTCTCTTAACATATAATATCAATGAGTCTTGATATTGCTAACGTTAAAACCATGAAAACCTCTTATGTTCTGTATTGTTATCATCCGTAACAACACTGATTCTTATAGATGCCAGTAACTATTTCTACTAAACTTGTAATATTATTTTATGTATACTGTTTTGAATTCAAGTTTTGTAAAACTGAATGAAATTTCAGTTAGCTTATTCATTATTAGACGAGGCTGAGCTAGAAGCCCAGCGGTTGACTTGAGTCTCTAATATTCCAATTTGCAGATTGGAGTACCAATATCACTTGAACTAGCCTATATGCATCATCAGCAATCTTTTCTATAATAGACAAATAATCAATAATATTGTGGAAGTGTATCGTTTCGAGTCAGGAGTTTATGTTGACAAGAAATAATATCAAAATTGAACTTACAGATTGTTTAAATTATCCTGATGTTGAAAACGCCAGTTTCATTGAAGATCCATGTGAAGGAATAGCAATTACATGCGATAATAAATTCGAGATGGAACAAGTAGTTGAATGTATAGACGGAGAATAGAAATATCAAAAACCTATTTGCAAACCTCTAGGTAAGATAGTGGCGTGGCAAATCGCCTTGTTTAAATATTTCTTGTTATTTATTTCGTCCACGCATGAAGCAGAAACCGAAAATGGTATAGAATTTCTGGCTTTATTGTTTAATATAAGGTCGTGATAGTTTTCAAAGTGTATATATAAAACATCATTTTTGCTTAACCGAAATTGAAATATTGAATAATGTGCACACAATTGGTTTTGAGGCTTTAGAGCCTATTTGTGGACCAATTTAGCCTCGGTTTTTTTTTTGTTATTTGTTACAGGATTTAATCTGCTATTTTGAAAACAAAATTGAAATTTTCAACTCGGACGCGAATCATTAAAAATATTCTAATCGATAATTATTTTGGATTTAATATGATGCTTTGTCTTTTTGTATATAAATAGCCAGATTTATTTTTATTTTCTACTTCTATTTCTGCGACAAATTGTGGAGATGGACTAGATGTAGTTTTTTATTATGGATGGAACAGGATCAGTAGGTTTTTCTAAATTCGATAATATGAACCAAATAGCAGATTTCATATCATCAACATTTTGTTATTGACCCAGCGGCAGTAAATGTTGGTCTCGTACTTTTTAGTTAATTTGTGGAGGGTAGCATTGATATGTCCACAATCAATCGCAGACAAATATCCGTGATCTTACTTTTCCAAATAATAGCTGTCCTGGGATTGTAAGAAAAGCAGTTGATGCAGCCCAGCTGATGCTAGAGACCCAAGGTCGACCTGGGGTCCCAAATATTACGATAGTCCTTACTGGTGGAAATTCTTATCCAGATCCTCAACCTAATACGAATGCTGCCAAAATCAATGGGACTGATATTTTTACCATAGGAGCTGGGTCATTTCCGGTTCTTGAATTTCAGGGACCACAGGCATTGGATGAAGAATTGGAATGTCCTAAATAGAAGTCAGCAGTGAAAGACGATAGAAATTTGTTATAGCCTATCCCTAACCCCGAAACATAGAAAATCATAATCTATTTTTAAACATATTTAAAATTGGCGTAGATTATAGAATTTAATTTTCCACTTTTAATTCATTGTTATCTTTCTGATAAATTTGGAAAAATGATAAAAAAAAAAATCACAGATTGACTGGGATTCGAACCCTCCAACAACTTTTGACAGTTGTTTTTTAATTATATTTTTAAACCTTAATACCATGATTTCAAATCTATACAAACAAAAGTTGCAATTTGTAGTTCAGTTCAACATGAATGTCTTCGCCTCAACACAATGCATAGAAAACTGTCACCTGTAAAATAACCATTGGGATCAGTCAATCAATAGCTGTGAATATCAGGTGTAAATAT